CCCCAAAACCCCAAAACCCCAAAACCCCAAAACCCCTTTATGATTTAAATCATTTGAATGCTAAATAACCCCCTTAAATATTATTATTATATATTCATTTCTTGTGCAATGCCTAAAAATCTTGTTCAATCTGCTTCTGTTCTTCTTGTACGCCCTGGATCTAACAGTTCTTCTGGCTAGCCTAACCAATGAAGCTTTAGAGTTCTTGCCTTAGAGAGTATATTATTTCTACCTTGAAAATATCCCTGGATTGTGCTTATTTTGTTCCTGAGGGAATGTCCCCTTCTTTGAGCCTAATTCCTTTCTTGACTCCTGAAACAGCCTGAAATAGAGCTGCTTTTTGTGGTCCTTCCTCAGGTTACTTTCGAAGAGAATATTTAGGAGATCTTTAGCGTCTGACTGGAACTGGACAAGGTTACACTACTGGTAGTTTCTTTTAGTTTGTTCGGATCGAGCAAAATAGGTTGGATATTCAAGTTTTTAGGTAGAACTTTTAAAGCAATGATATAAAGTTCAGAGTATATGGTACCAATCTGAGATATTTTAATCATCCTACTATGAGGCATAACGAAAGTTAATCTGTATCTGACCATTTGTAATCAGGATACAAGCATCAGCTCACAATGCATGAAGGTAATATCAATGTTATATTCCTTGATGGTTAATGAAGAGATTAGATTAACTAAAAAGTTAACTTTGCCTATATTACAAATGGAGTAAAATATATTCTCCCGATTTTTTTATGGAGAGAATTTTGAAAATAGCAGATGGAAGATTAGTATTATTGGGAGATGACTTGCTTCTGAGGTCTAAGTATGCCTCTTTGAATCTATTCAGATCAGGTAGAAGACCATTCCACACATTGCAGAAGTTGTGCTGATCTTTGGACTCAGGAATTTGACTAGCATTGTGTTAAACTAAATGTAAGTGAGGTGGTAGTCAAAAGTAGTTTTGAAGTTGGATGAAAGTTCAAGAGTAAGTCACTAAATCAAGTGAGTGTTTATGATAAAGCCCTATATAGCTTTGAATAACCTTAATGCATCAAATTTATTGAACTTAGTATTCTGGACAACTCTTCAGGGTACTTATCTTAGCTAGGACACTCATAAATGGGCTTCAGTTGTGGAATCTACTCTCAGTGCTCTTCTAGTAGGTAATGATCATGTAAACTGAACAAATGAAAATATCTTGCTTGAGTGGGTTAGCAGCAGTGTTCTTAATCATACATGTGATATCCTCCCATTTTGAAGAAGTTCGGCATTTTGGAAGTTTATCTTTAATTAATTTATAAATAATCGAATGTCTAAAGGGGTTTTGGGGTTTTGGGGTTTTGGGG